GATTAATAACTTTTGCCAAGTGAGCAAGAATGAATGACAGTGTAAGCGCATGGTGGAGGGAAGGAATAAAAAAAGTAAGGTGCAGGACTGGATAAGTAAAAGGTGAAAGAGTAGATGAAGGACTCTGGAGAGAGCTGTATGCCATTATTAGAATCTTGTCTTCTGAGTAAATTTAGGAATATTTAATGAAATATTTAATGAATTTAATTTTCCACTTCAAATATTCAGAAAAAGAAAACAATCACATAGGAACTTCACTGTGAAAGTTCCTGAATGATAGTGTGTTCATGGAAAGAAAATAGTAGTGTGTTCATGGATAAAAGGAATGAGCCAAGTCAGGACTGATTTCCTCCAGTAGAAAGCAGTTATTGCCTTGGACAAGAGAATGCAGCTGGTGACACGTAAGATACTGAGATTTTAAAAATTAAGTAAACTCAACTACTTGGTAGTGATACTTTTAAAAAAATGTAGTGGCTGGAGAGATGGCTCATCAGTTAAGAACACTGTTTTTTCTTGCAGAGAATCGGGTTTGAATCCCACCATCCACATGGCAGCTAACAACCATCTCTAACTTCAGTCCACAGGGATCCAACAGCCTCTTCTGACCTCTGTGGGTAGTGCACAACATGGGTGCACTTACCTACATGCAGGCAATACACGCATACACATAAAATAAAAATAATAAATAAAATATTAAGAAAAAGAAAAGAAATGTAAGACCACTGAGGACCCTCAGGACTTGGAGTGAGGTTCTTCTTGGAAAGGGAACACTGCCAACTAGGGGTGTGTTTGGTAGAGAAATGTGTGACTTTCCTGTAGATTTGCAAAACATACATTATTCCTATTAAGTAATGATTTTCTTTGTGAATTCCAGAGGAACTCAGACATGAATTATGGGGTAGTTCGCATCAAGATGACAAATATCCTTCTGTCAATGAAAGAAAAAAAAAATAAATAAAACTGATTGTAATTTGAGACTTAAGGTCTTCTGGTTGGAGGAGGTATTAGTGCTTAATAATAGTTTAGAAAGAAACTTTTACAAAAGGAGGCTTCAGGGACATCTTTGAAAAATAGATGCCATAAAAACAATGCCATAGATTTTTACAGTAAGCTTAGAAACATGATCAATCAATCTTGCATGATAACAAAGGAGTTGATAGGAAATAATACAGTTGAGGAGGTAAAGCAACTTAGGGGATGGTAAATTAACAGCATACCAAGGAAAAAAAATAAGGTCAGCTACAAGGGGAGCCCTTCTACACAATCTAAAACATAGTTATTCTGTTTATTATGTATAGACAAAAAATAAAAAGATTTAGATCATTTAATGTAATTATTAAAGATAATGTTTTTAAATGAACAACAAAAAGTCACAGAGTGGTGCTTCATGCTGGTATGACAATTGTAATCAATGGCCACAGACACTAATAAATTATAGAATTAAATAAATAAGGGTATAATTCATAATAAAGTTGGCAAAGATGAAATAGAAATATTTGAATGGCTTCCATGAATTATGTAGCTAGTGCTTGTGAAGGAATAGAGGACAGAAGGCCAGGCACCATTTTTGAATGAAGAGTCCATATAGTATTTTTATTCATTTCATTCCTTGGTATTAATATTTTATACTATCTTGCTATTTTTAGTGCATATGTGTAACATTTCTTAAACATAATTGCCAAGGGGGATGGCACATAATTCTTCCATCTATTCAGTGTCTTTTAAAAATTCATGGTCTTCATTTTATTTTATTCCCTTTTAAAATTTTATTTTTATTGAATTTTTGCAATTTTCATGCAACATAGTTTGATGATATTTAGATCCCCTCACTTATCTCTACCGCTCCCCATTGTCCCAATCTTTGTAGAAAATTGATAGAGTAGTATATGTGCTATATATATTAAGGCTTATAGAGTCTAATTTATGTCCCCAAGTTTCCTTCAGTGTGGTCCATCCACTGGGCTGACAAACAGTCCCATCCTTATAAGACAGAGTTTTACACACTCCCAGCAGCCATCAGTTGCCAAAATGCAACCTCTACACATAGGATGAATGCATCTTTCAACACTTATCAGAGAAGTATTTCCTTATACAACAGGTGGTGATTAACACAGATGCCTGTAATTGACCAAGGTGCAGAGAATAAGAGGCCACAGAGTGCTTATCCCTGACTAGGACACCTGTTTCATCCTATCCTTATTATAATTTTGAGATATTATTACTTAACAACTGGTGAATGGGATCTGAATGACTGTAGAGATCCCTTATCCTTCTACCCTCTCCATGTATTCAAATACAAGGACTCACAGTGTACAAGGGACTATGAGACGTGACTCAATTCCTTTACACATGCTTAACTGAAAGTATTTTATTAATAGACACGTAGTTTATGCCTATTTATAAGTTCAAGAACATATTGTTTTCATTATTTTCTGGAATCAGTTTATCATAGTCATGTGTGACATGCACACACACCAACACACATAATTCAGATAGATATATTGACATATTAAGATCTTCCAAAATTCTAGCTTTTTTTGTTTTTGTTTTTTACAAGACACTAGAGACCAAATTAGCCCTACTATATGTGGATAAATCTATCAATATATATCTCTTTTCTTGAAGTTACGTTACTTTTGGTGTGCGAAAGAGAAAGAAAGAGACAGAAAGAGAATAATGTCAGTCTGAGACCATGAATTTATAATTACATAACCTTTCAAATTTTCTCAGAAGTAGAACCAATTACTACTTGGTCAGCACTAATGAGCAAAAATTCATAAATCATTTTACAATCATCTGACTATTTAAGTCATGCAAAAAGGACAATGATTTTCTTCTTAGAAAACATAAATGAAATATCTAGGTAGTTTATTATAAATTCAGAGATTTTGATAACTTTGTAACTTTCTAATCCACTCATTTTATAAATAGAACTCTTATAAGTAGAAGTATATATAATTTATTACATCGTTATGTGTCAGAACATTCCATTATTTTCTAATAAATGCTCAATAAACACTTACATTTAAGATATATATGAATGAAGTGAAAACCCCGTATTGTTTCAAAAACATCATTAATATTCTGATAGACAGTTGCCCCATTAGCACAGAAAACTAATGATTGAATAACCTATATATTGGGTATTCCATTGTGAAAACAATCTTCTAGGGGTTGGTGACTAAAAATTTAAACAGGTTATTATATAAATATATTTTGAATTTCAGGTTTACTAAGAAATCAAAACTTTAACATACTATCATCAATAACATTCTTATTAAAATGTCCATTATTGAATGATTTCTGTCCAGTGAAGTCTTTCAGTTGGCAAAGAAGATTAGTAATCTTTCTGTATAAAGTGAATTTGGGAGACATAGTTTGAGTTATTCTAGAGATCACTGTCACAATTCCTGATTTTTTAAATTTAAAAATGAATGATTTAAAAATAAACAGCAGAGCAAGTTACTGTCACTTTGACATTCCTGAATGAACAAAATTTTTAAAATGTTCAAATAAGAATTTCACTACTGATACCTAATGTTGATGCAATGAAAAAGTAACATTGGAAATTTAGGTCTAATTTTAATTGGCGATTGTATTTTGAATTATAACTACTATGAAATATTTTCATGCCATTGTTTTTCTTTTCCACTGTCACTGGATTCTCATTTTAGTGACTTAACTCTCCAAGATACAGAGCATTTTTCTTCATTTCAATTCAAAGATGTGGAAACTACTGGTTCTTAAATTTTGTCTATTTGAAAGCAAGCATAAAAGATGCATTAGTGGTTTTGTCAAATTAACTGTTAACACTCAGCCCAGTGTGTCCTTAGCATTATAATGCTACTGTATTTTTAATTGGTTCTCATGGGGTGTCCTTTTTCCATAATCAGATTATTGTACAAACTAAAGTATCAGTTGATTGAGTGATGTGGGCTCCTCCAGTTGGGAAGCTAGAAAAACTACAGTTCAAGAAAATTGAAATAATAAATTCTGCATTAAGTATGCATCAATATTACACTCAGACTTACTCAAACCATAGCATTTTCACTAATTAGCACACAAATCTGTGGTACTGTTAATGATAGTCTCATCAGGGAATGTGACTTTAGACACTAAATCTAATAAAGTATTTCTTTTACAAATAAATCATGAGGTGGGGCTTGTGCAACAAGAAATCAGTCAGGAAAACTCATCTCTAGATTCTTGGTAACATTAAATGATTACATGCAGGTGGTTTCTTTTCTTTTTTTTTTTTTTTCAAACTTTTACTTTCTATTAAATCATTCATTGACACAAAAAGACTTTGTTCCAATTTGTATGGTGCATTTCAGAAAGCTGACATAATTGGGAAGCTGTATCTTAATGGAATATTCAGTGTTATTACTGTCATTACTAGACATTTTCAAAGTCACCATGGGAGGTAAATATATTTCCTTTCAAAGATTATTTCAGCCTGAGATCTGTCTGAACTATTATTGCCTATAAACTTCAATAACACAAATGTCATTCAAAGATGAGAAAATGTTATATTCTTCCAAAACTGATTTTAGTGAATGTGAATAAAATGAGATTACTGCATCACCAGAGTCTTAACACAAAACTGGCAAGGTTTAAATTTGTTTGCATGTGGTTGACCCCATAGCTCAAGGTCTAGAGCCCTTGTCTTTGAAAATATTTTTTGAATGATGAACTTCAGTTGGTTTACAAATGATCTTAATATGAAGAACATTTCATATATTACAGTCTAATAATTTATTGAAAATAATAGTGCTTACCTGGGATACAAATTTGGTGAGAGTTTTCAATAGCAAGCAAATTTATCTTCTTACCTATATTTTATATAATTTGTCACCAATAGAGTTAATTTATGGAGAAAGTTTTTCTTCCTAAGGAAAAAAGAAGCTGGAGACAGAGTAGTTGTAAAAACTGGTTTA